GGTAGCATATATATATATATATAGACGCAGACGAGCCTGCGAGGTGATATCTAGACACGTACATTCCATTTTCGCATATATAATATGCACTACCAATACAAACCCCCAGATACACACACACACACAGAGAGACAGACACAAAACATGACACTGCACTATAGTAGTGGGCAGAGCTTGTTGATCCGTGTGCGGGCATACCCAGGGACACCTCACAAAACAAAACATGACACGGCACAGGTACAGTAGCAGGCGGAATTTGCCGGCATGTGGGCGTACCACATATGCTAAAAACGCTGGCTAACGCGGATCTTGCACCTCGCCGCTGACAGCAAGGAACGTTTCCAAAGAATCGCCAGAACAGCTCAAGGCAAACAACTCGCATGTCTCTACCCGTACACACACTGTGCAACTGCTTAGGAATGTTATGGCATATTCAAGTCTACAACCCCAGCAGTAATTGCAATCCCAGCATAGAACAGGTCGGTCACGCAGCCAAGAGCATCACTTCAGCACCCGGCCCCTTTGTCGAGTTCCCGAGTCTTCCGCACAGGCGGCCAGCTGCAACACGGAAGCCGTAAATATGCAGTCCTCCCAAGGCGGTCTGGGTCCGGCGAGGCATAGACTGCATAGACACTCTGCGGATTTCGGGAGCAAAGGGAGTGAAGATGGACGTGGCCCCTCAGCACAGGATTCAGGTTCCCTGCCCCCGCAGCTGCATCCTTGAGCAGATCCACCCTGGGTCCCAGAATGGGAGCGATCTCAGCGACAGGCAGATGTGAGCGTGTTCCATATCTGCTCCACAAATCGGCGTGCAGACTGCTCACCGGGATAACTCCCAAAATACAACATCAGTCTCCACTTCGAAGTACGGTTCGCTTCCACGAGCTCCGGGCAGACATGATCATTGCTATCCATGCGCTTGGCACCTTCCGGCCAATCCACGCAGCCTCCAGAGAGAGGGCAGGGGTTTAAGGCAGTCACGGTTGTCGCGGAAGCTGGCTTCTCTAACACTCAGTCAGTGGAGCAGGTGCTCAGCAGAGAGGAGGCCCTGAAGTACACCGGAGCACGGGGGTCCTGAATACACCCTGTCTCTGCTCAAGAGTCCGTGGGGCAGCATTTCCAGGGCCTGAATGGCGCGGCCAAGGTATCCCACAAAGTCGACGGCCAGCACGGCCTGTGGGAGCTCTTGGGCGCCAGAGCTGCAGGGCTTCGGTTGCACAAGGCGCTTGCCCTCAAGAAAAGACCTGCACAGCCGTGTCTCTGAGAGGCTGGCGACCAGCCAGAGACCTATGGCCTCCCAGACTATGCCAGCGCTTCCTCGGGCTTTCATGTGGACGCGGAAGCGGCGTCTTTTGAATGGTTGGGTGACTGGCAACGTTCTTCTAGGCGAGGCTCCCAGCATCAGGTTGTTCGTCATGGACCACGACATCAGGACCTTGGCGAGCGCGGTTGCAGGGGCCGTTCCCAGATGGCCTGCATAGCAGACGGCCTCTAGGCCAACACTCTGTTCGAGGCGGGTGCTCGGCCCTGTTGAAGACCAGTCCTAGACCAAGAACCCTCACGCTTGCCCACATCGTCTTCCACCTTCAGCTCGCAAGCAGGCACATCGCGACAAACACTTCGCCGACTTCCCAAAGGACGTAGCAAGTGTTCGGCCGCAGCTGTGCCGCGGCTCATCCGTGCTACTTTTCAAGAAACACCACAATTCACTGCTCGTCTCGGCGCACCGGCTTCGAAAACTCGCTTCAGCAGTTCTGCCTTTCTTCAGCTCGCACAGTAGTGCAGCAAAAGGCAAGCCTGGCCAACTACGAAGTTTCCTGAAGTCCTCGGAATCTTCAACGCTTCCCCCCAAGGGAGGAAGGTTTATTGAAATTCGAAATTTACCGGTCCCGCTTATGAGACCGAGGAAGACTTGCAACAGAGCACACGTCCCGGCCGATTCCATAATACCTACAACGACGGCAGGCATCATCATGAGCATTCCTGGCACTCTCTGCACGGCACGAACATGAGCAGCAAGTTTCGGGTTACCCACAGCTTCCAGCCAGAAGCTGCACACGTCATACAAAGACAGTCGATGGGGAAGATTCACTGGTCCTGCACTCCCGGGGCCAGTCGGGGGCGTCGCAGGGCATTTCTTCGACAGATCACCAGTAGGTTGGACTGTATGACAATGGCACGCAGGAACTTCGCGAGCAGAAACTCTGGAGGGCTGTTCACCGCTTCCCTTCGGACTCTCGCTCCTGGCTGGTCCTAGCTGTTGGGGTGCCGGCTCTAGCTCCCATACTGGCTCACGAACTGAGATGTGAAAGCCTGGAAGCGCATGTCACTGACGCCCCGGCCAAGAGGAATCCGTTGTGCAGCACGTAATAAACCTCCGGAGGCCAATGGGGGCATGTGCCAACGCGGAGAGATCAGCTCAGACTCTGAAATTTCAAGCACTCTGTTGAGATCCAAGGCCCGTGCGAGCAGTACAGTGGATTTTCCGAGCCCCAGGGAGAGCTCATACTCGTAGAAGCCAGTTAGTGTGCCTGAGGGGCAGCGGCATGCAGCAGGCAGAACAACTGAGTCCCAGCGGCGGAATCGCAGTCCGGATACCTCGCAGTGTGCTTTGATTCCTACTGTCCTACTGGAACGGACTTCTGGTCCAACCGCACCGACCCGAGTCTCTGCCCCTCGGCGGAGCCTGCACTCTCCTTCTCGGGCTCTGCCAGCATTGGCCTGCAGGCATGGCGAGAGTTCGAAGCTTGCGACCTGTGTTGCACACAACGTGTGGACGTCGAATGCAGCTACATGCCCAATGCCACGGCTTCAGCCTGCGATTCGTTGGAAGCAGACCGCAACGGACAGCAGAGGCTCTGTGCTTTGCCCTTCACGTGTGCCGCGCCGAGGCGGCTGTACTGGTTCGGTTTGCTGAAGCATGGCCAACTGTACCAGGAGGCGTCACCCATTATAGCAAGTTGAAACCCTCCTCGTCGTCGCCCCTCCTCCTGCTCCTCCTCATCATCACAGTATTCGACTCACCCTTCTCCACTATCCATATCCCTGCTACTCCGCCCAAGCGGCGCTGACTATATCGCTGCGACTTGGAACGTGCCCTGCCTGGTCTCGGCGACTGTCAGCACAGAGGCGTTCCTTCTTGAAGCGACAAGTTTCTTCGACGCCGTCCTCGCGACGCTCTCCGTGGGCCTCTTTGGGACTGTGGGTGCCTGTGTCATCTTCGGGAGTGCATGGGCTCCGAGAGCTTTGACCGATCCTGCTTGCAAGAGCCCCCAAATGGTTTACAGTAGATACCATCAGAAAAATCCGAAACCCATTGTGCAACTCCTAGATCCGATATGAGAAGTCTCCAACTCTCAGAGCCCAGCTTTTCCGACCGAAAGATTCGGACCCCTGAAACTCTGCAGACCTCAAAATCGTGCGTCCTTTGGGCCATGCAGTTCCCGACGGCAGCGAATAACTGGGCCATGGCCACAGCCACTCCTGAGAACATGATCCCAGCTAGAGCTACCTGAGTGGGGGGATGCTCGCCACGACCTGCAATGCGCAAAAAGTGGGTGGTCGAAAGGAGCTTGGCCCTGCCTTCATGCTTTAGTTTCATCAAAACTTAATAACGGCTCTCGGTTCCGCTGAATCTGCCGAAAGAGCATTCGCGCCCAAGCGAATTTGTTGGGTAAGATATGCTGGTTGGACGGAGGTTCCAATAAGCTACGAGCCCAGGAGGCAAAAAAATCCGGGCACCCGGGCCGATGAGGAGCAGGGCACCCAGGGTGGCATCCCGCCAGCGCTTGCCCATCATCTCCTCTTCCAAGTCGGACTCGGCCGTGGGCAGAATCTCCTCGAAGCCCGAGCCAGGGCTTAGGAGAAGGAAAAAGGAAGGCGAGGACATCTCTTGAGGCCGAGCTCTATTGGAGGCCGCCAACTCCTTTGAACCACTCCTCAAGCTCCTCTAGACCCATAGACGCTAGGCGCTCGGAGGTGCCATGAGGCACTGCCATGCTTCAGGTTGCGTTTCAACATATTGAAACCAAATCTTGTAGTTCGTCTGACGGCCTTTCGGCACCCTCGCCCAGCCGCTAGTTGCTACGGCTCTCCACTCTTACGGTTACCAGAGCCCCAGAGCACCTTCTCCTGCAATGGCTGCCAGAAGGGCACGGCCCTCATGAAGCGCTCCATCACAACCAGCCTCGCAGGAGCTTTCGGGAATCGTCTTTAGGGTTTGGGGGTTGGAAGAGCTTCGGGGTTTATAGGGGTTCAGGGGTTTATAGGGGTTCAGGGGTTTAGGGGTTTACAGGGGTTCAGGGGTTTATAGGGGTTTAGGGGTTTAGGGGTTTATAGGGGTTTACGGGTTCAAGGTAAGAGTCTAAAAGTCTAAAGAAGTCCTATCCCCATACGAAAGGCTGCGACACGCTCCTGCCTGGGTGTGAAACAACTGATACATGGCTTCATATAGAGCACCTCTCGAAATCACAGGCTTCTGATAGCGACTGTCGTGCGAAGATTCCTCGAGTTGATTCCTCGAGCAAAAGCGATTCGAGTCGATGCCCGAAGAAAAAAACGAACGTCGGCTCCGAGAAGGCAAACGTCGATTTCCGAATAGAAATCTTCTTGTCGAGGGTGTTCCCAAAACCAAACACGACTATTCGAGTCGGGCCCCGGGGGAAAAAAAACAGAAATTTGTCGAGTGGATTCCTGAAAAGACCACGTCAATCCCAATGCGTGGAGTCTGGAGTTTGGGCTCCTCGAAGTTTTGCCTACTGCGTGCATTACCGCAACCACCCTCCAGAGCTGCTGAGCATCATTTCCAAGACTGTGCTTGGCTACGGAACTGGTTGCCAGCGAAGCGGTGACAACTGCGTGAAAATGACACCCGGAAAAACGTTTACGAATACTGATTTTGACGGCTCCACACACCTCCTGCGATCTACACCGGACACACAGAGGCTGTCCCGGTTCACAAAGCAGCAAGTGCCAGATGCTGGATTCCCTGCTCTCCCAAGGCCACAAGCGCTGAAACAATCCCCCGCACACCTCACACCAAGAAGAATGTCATTCGGCTGGCCTACTACCATTCCTGAAGCCTCTAATCAAAGCTCCGAAGCCGAAGAACGCATGTCCCGCCTTTGTCGCACCACATCGGGCCTCACAGCTTTCAAGAGTTTCGGGGCCCCTCGGGAGGTAGTTTTTGATTTTGGGGATCGTGCACAAGACAGACGAACCCTAAACTCCTAATCCCCTAAACCCTAAATTAAACCTTATCCCCTAAACCCTAAACCCGAATCCCCTAAACCCCTAAACCTCTAAACCTTAATTAATCCCCTAATCCTAATCCCCTAAACCCTAAACCCTACTCCTTATAACCCTAAACCGAATCCCCTAAACCTTACAAGGATTCTGGGCCCAGGGTTGGGGTTCGCCCTGGAGGAGTGCCAAAGCGCATTCCCGACTTTGCCAGTGTCTTTGGAGCCGTGAGGTGAACTCATTGGATTTATTCTTGAGAACTCATTAGGGTTTTTTTAGATCTCATGAGGGTTTTGAGTTTAGGGTTTAGAGTAGGGTTTAGGGTGTAGGGTTTAGGGTTTAGGGTGTAGAGTTTTTGGTGCATTCTCTCGACCAAGGAGTCGAGCCATTCAGGGTTCTTGCTCTGCAGTGCTCCTTTTTTCAGAGGGGTTCGCGAACCCAGCGTCCGCGGTTTGGGATTTTGGGAAGAGCAGGGCGGAAGACCGCACGCTCATGCGGTGAATTTGATGCGGATTCAGCTTCAAAGTTGTACAGATCTGGCAAGCCTCATTCACACACACACACACAAAATAAATAAATATAAATATAAATATAAATATAAATATAAATATATATATATATTATTATTATTATGCGACATGCGATGGGCAAAGAAGCTGTCTTGCAGAGAAGCGGTTTGCCCTGGTATTTCCAGCACTTTCTGCACATTGAAGGGGTAGGATCGAGACGTCTGGTTATGTGTGAGAGAATGGAACAAAGACGGTGTGGATCTTGGGGGGAACCATAGATAGATAGATAGATAGATAGATAGAGATACAGATACAGATACAGATACAGATACAGATACAGATACAGATACACATACACATACACATACACATACACATACACACGCACACATACACATACACATACACATATACGCATACACATATACATATACATATACATATGCATGTACATATACATATACATATGCATATGGCCACGCGCTCCGTGACCCCCCCCCCCCTCCCTCCCCCAGCTCATGGTTCAGGATGCCCCCCCTGGTGGGGTGGGGTGCGGGGTCCCTCTTCCCCCTGTGGGGCGGTTGTGGGGTTTTGGGGTTTGGGGTGTAGCTTAAGCTTTTGAGTATTGGGTTTAGGGTTAAAAAGGTATAAGGCTTCGAGTCGACAAAGGCTTAGGGAGGGTTTGGGGTGTAGCTTCGTCAGGTTTAGCCTTAGAGCCTGCATTTAACCGGGGTTTAGGATTGGCTGTAGGGTTTCAAGTAGGGCTCGTGGTTGCAATGATACAAAGCGGGAGCTAAACTAACGTGCAGGAGGAGGAGCGGAGTGCTGAAATCTTAGCTGCATTCATGGGATCGCTTCTTGAGCGTTGGAAGTTCTCGCTGCTGGGGGCCAGGCGATGGCAGAACAGAAGTCACGGCATCGAGGCCGGGGAAGGGCAGCCCACCCCTGTGCGGCTCAAGGTGAGCAGCCGAGAAGGCATCTACAGATGACTGCAAGGAGAATCAGGGGCTTGAAAAAGGCCGTCACCCCCAAGGACGGGGCAGTCGAGATGTTGGACAAGTTTTCACCTTCACTGCCGCAAGGCGCCGGGCCTGGCGCACGAGCGAGGGCAGAGGCAAAAAGGCATGAGAAAGCATCTAAGCCAGCATTCGATAGAAAGAGCTCATACCCTGGCTAAGTGTTCCTCTTCTCCAAGCACTGTGCTACCATGGTCGACGGTGTTCCCCTGGGGCATTGTTTTTTGGCTGTCGTGCGAAGAATAACCATATTCGCAGCATAACTCTAGTAGACGTGGTCGTCGTAGAAGCTGCAGCAGCAGCAGCAGCAGCAGCAGCAGCCGCAGCCGCAGCCGCAGCCGCGGGAGCTGGAGCAGTAGGAGTAGGAGAAGGAGGAGTAGGAGGAGTAGGAGGAGTAGGAGGAGTAGGAGGAGGAGGAGGAGTAGCAGCAGCAGTATGACAGCAGCAGTATAAGTAGCAGTAGCAGCAGGAGCGGGAGCGGGAGCAGGAGCAGGAGCAGGAGCAGGAGCAGGAGCAGCAGGAGCAGGAGCAAGAGCTGGAGCAGCAGTAGTATCGGTAACAGTAACAGTCACAGTAACGGTAACAGTAGTAGTAGCAGCAGCAGCAGCAGCAGCAGCAACAGTAGCAGCAGCCGAAGCCGCAGTCGTAGTAGTCGTCGTCGCAGTTGTGGTCGTTGTCGTCGTCATCGTAGTCGTCGTCGTAGTCCTCGTCGTAATTATAGTAGTACGTAAAAGTAGTAGCAAAAACAATCAAGACCATGACAAGCACATTGCCGATATGACTCTATTCTCAATGAGGTTCTTTTCGCATGTGCTGCCAGTCTGCAGCTCCTGAAACGGCCCAGGGCTCCTCGAAGTCGCGCGTTTGCAGCTGCCACAATGGTAGCACGATGGCGAGACCTCGGCGAACCCATTGCCTTACCTCTGCGCGGATGAACATCACTAGTCACTAGTCGCATCCCTATGGCCTGGTCATTATCTGTCCGTTGGTGTGTTCACCTGGACTTTTGCTTGGATGCACAAGAATGGCCTCAGACTGAAGTGCATCCAAAGCAGTCGTATCCCCAACGGGGTATCCCAAGCGAGCAGCTTGAATGGGAAGCCCTGCAACCGCCATACCCACAAAACAGGGTTTGGCAGTGATGAAAGTTGAGCGAGCTGAAGGACACTTCCTCTCAGAAGACATGAACACCCTAAACCCTAAACCCCAAACCCTAAACCCTCAACTAAACTTCAATGTGAAGACAAGGGAAAACCCTTTTGTGCAATCCCTGCTCGGGGCTCCGACTCGCGGCCTCGGCTGGAGAGGTCGAAGGAGGGTCAAGGGCTATGTGGAATTAAAACTTAGGGCTCAGGGTTTAGAGGTTAGAGGGGTTCGAAGGAGGGTTGACAGCTCGTCTGCGACTTTCACGACGGGCAGCTGGATCCCCATGTCGGATGATCCAGACCTCCACACAGAGAAAGCTCCTTAACAAAGCCAGACCAGTACTTGGTTGAGCTGCACTTCTAGCACGCTGAGATGGACATATGCATTGACCCCCGAGATGCATTGATCACACAAAACCCTTAAGATTGTTGCTTACACCTTGTCTCAGCACTTGAGGATCGAACAGTGTCGAACCCATGCGAAACATTCCACACATGGCACTGAATTTGCTCAAAAGGCGTGACTAAGAAGCCCTCCGATTCCAGGAGAATCCGAGGCATCACCGGGCACCGAGCCAGGATCACGACGCGACCGAGCGCCATCAGAGCCTGCAACGAGCCGGAGCTCCCGCAAGGAATCGGCAGAAAAAAGATGACTTTCCTTCGAGTGTTGACCACGGTCAACATGGATCATCTCAGGCTCGAACGGCTACCTCATAACTATCTTGGGCATTTATCACAAGTCAAAACAGAGAAAGGACAAAGGGAACGGAAATGGGCAGAATACTGCTACTGTTGTTGCTGCTGTGCTGCAGCTCTGGGAGTCTTGGTAGGGGGAGTCTCGGTGGAGATATTGCTGGTGGATCTGCTGCTGCTGGTGTTGCGGGCGGCCGGGCGGGCGGCCGGGGTTGGCGGCCGTCGCGGAAGCATCTGGGCATTTAGCTTGGTGGAACCACGGTCAGTCAGCCAAGCTGGTGCCGAAGTCGTTGGCATACTTGGGAAAGCCTTGCATCCCCGGAGACCGGAGACAGGCCCTTCCTTGCGAAAGCCAAGATGGGCATGATCTATCTATCTAGTTCATGCTTCAATACGCAGCGCTCCACAGCATAGCTATCGTATTGGGAAGTGAACATGTAAGAACCGACATTTGCGCGAGGTGACGGTATGAAGTTAGTGACCGTGATCGAGAATCATCATGTTCTTCTCCTTCATCATCACAATTAGACTCAGCATCAACATCAGCATCATCAGCTGAACCAGTGCAGAATCATAATCATATGCATACTCATAATCATATGTTATTGACATGTTATTGACCATACAGGGTCAGCCTGGACGCTACGGCAAACTCAAGCGGCCCCTACGTAGTCACCCCTTTCCGAAGGCCAAGGTGGTGGGCGGCACAACACATCATCATAATCATATCATAACCTTGGTGCTGAACATGATTGCCAGGAATACAGCAGCTGTGATGGTGGTCAGCGATGCTGACCACAGAAAGATGACGACCACATCTCTCGCACCCGGGCGGCGCGGGCATATCCGGGTCTAGAGGGTCTGCAGCTCGGCACGGAGTAAAATAATAACTAGTGCGGGAGGAGAAGGAGGAGGAGGAGGAGGAAGAGGACAATCCGGCCGAAACTCTGAAGCCCACCTGGCAGGTGATGAAACTATAATGGTAGTGTCACCGTGGTTCCAAACACCGCCAACACACAAACGAAAAACAGCAGTAGCTCTTTCACCCTAGGACTGCACTGCACCAGTCAATGCAATCTTGGCCTTCGCATGGGCCATGATGTCACCGTACCTGCCCGAGCGATGTCACTCACGGCAGGGATTGCACGAAACAAACTACAGATTAGCAAAACGCATCTCACGGTCACCGTCACTGTAAATATCATTGCATCATTGCCTTTATCTTGATGACCATCCTTCTCTGTTCTCACTTGTTGCTGCAATTGCCGAGGCTCCGACGAAAGGGAACAGCGAAGATGATGGGGCGCAGATGGGACTGTTTCGCGGCTTGAGCCAGAAGAAGCAACCGCAAGCGCTTCGAGATACCAAGAGATGGAAGCTACATTTGCCAGGCACTGTTCACCACGTCTGACTCCTGCATGCACGCGCGTCCGCGACACCATACCGTAGCCACACACGCGGGGTTTATTGGCACTTGCGCATGAAACGCGCCTGTTCCCACGGGTGTATGGTGGACCGGGCTGCGAGCCAGCTCTTGCCCTGAGGCAATCTCGCCAGTTCCACGGAATTGGGTGCTACAAAAACTATTTCAGTCTCACGTCATTCCCAAAAACTCAGCTTAGAGGCTACCAGAATCAGCCTGCGCCAAAACACAGACAGATGTGGCCTATCCTCTGGAAAATGCTCCTTTCCTTTGATACCCGTTCCATCCCGTTCCTGAACTTCGATGCAAGTTGTACAGGGCAGAGATGAATGCACTACATTCAGAAGATTGCAACAGATTGGGTCCAAGGATGTTGAAGATGAGAGTTTCCAGTGGCGCGAGGTGCTCCACGCATCCTTTATGGGCATGCCGCACTAAACTCCGGCCCATGGTTTTCGGATCGCAGAGTTGCAGATGCCGCTCTGTGGACTTGGAAGGCTTCTCTGCTCACTTGCGCACGCTCTTGCGCACCTGATCCTGCGGGAGAGCTCTGCAAGTCTCAACCCCGTGAAGACAATCCGAATTGTAGCCTGTAGCCTGAGGCCTGGGCTGGCATCAGAATGCTTCGGTTTGGGATGGTGTCCCGTCTCTCCCCTCCACCCTCCGTCTCAGTGCCTCTCAGCCTTCCTAATTTCCCTAACTCCGGGCTTCCAGGGTTCCATAGATGGCCTTTTTATGTAAGGGTTCTCCCTAAACCCCTAAATTATGCTGTCGGCGTTGCATCAAACATTGTGCGCTACAAGCTCGAGCTCAGGCGAAGTCTTTCAACTCCATGGTACACGAGCTCTCCAAATTGTCCACCTAAGCCTTTGGAAGCACCTCTCTCATGCAAAACCCTAAACCCCTAAACCCTAAACCCCAAAACCCTAAACCCTAAACAAGCTTCTGTGCTCTCATCCCGGCATGCTGAAATGAGCGAGAAGGCTCCTGGGAGCCCCACGAACTGTATCATGATGCTATTCCTAATCTCTCAGACCCTGGTTTAGGATAAAGATCGGGGACGCGGCTCTACAACTCCCCAATCCTTACTCTGGCCCTAAACCCTAAATCCTAAACCCTAAACCCTAAAACTCAATCTGAACTTCAGAAACACGCGCACCCTTAGCTTCCAAACTTTCCAAGACGCCAGACCTAGATTACTTCCTGGGCAAGACTAGAAGACAAATGCAAAAGAGCCCTAAACCCTAAATTCTCCCTAAACCCTAAATGGCCCTAAACCCTAAACGGCCCTAAACCCTAAAAGGTTTCTACAAGGCTCTCTTGTGAAAATCAGTGAAAGGGGCTCCGTGCCTCGCAGAGACCCAGCTGGCTCCGGAACACCCAGCTTCGTCAAGCAGGCTGCGGCGGTGAACATGTCAAAACAGGGTTTAGGGTTCAGGGTTTAGGGTTTAGGGTTCAGGGTTTAGGGTTTAGGGTTTAAAAATATGTGCCTGTCACGGATTTCAAGGGCTGCATTTTCCTCGCCACTTAAGGTGCTGGGACAAGACCCGCCACCATCCCCGCCGCCATCCTCATTAAAACCCGAGCACTCGAAATCATTGCCTACGCCAGGGGTAACAATCCCTATCTACTAAAAGAAGTCGGGTATAATGAAACATTGTCCCT